CAGACTGTTGTGCGACACGTCGTGCAAGTGATGGCTTTGGCACGTCTCTTCGAAGTGAATGCTGCCGCTTTCTTCTTGAAGTTGGATTGTTAACCAGTCCATCGCTAACATCTATTAGAAGGCGTTTGGAGCCCCGCAATCATCCAAGGTCATACAGCAGCCCGCTCGACAGATGACCTCTTGCGACATAATGGTAGGTCCAGCAGATGCGCGCACCATTCAGCTTCTTGGCGCAGACATGCTTGCACTGTTGCAAATGGTAGTGCAATAGCACAAGTACTGTATGTTGCATGTTTCGCGCAGTGCAGCCGTCAGCTGCACTCAGGGTTGGAAGGATTTTTCGGGTGGCTTATCCTTGCTTGTGATGGTTTGAGGATGGACATGAGTTTGAGCAATGTTCTGAGCGGTGCTGCCATCAGCTGCATCCACCATGCTCATCGGCAATTTGTTTGCGCTTCTTGTTCGGAGCGGTGCAGCCGCCAGCTGCAGCCAATATGACCGTCGGGAGTTTGTGTCGAAATCGTCAGTGCGTCGAAGAAAGATTTACCAAGTTTCCCGATTCAAGCTGGATCTTCAACTTATCTAACCGTCGTATGTCCAACGGCATTTCCTCGTCTGTGGGTGCATCGGTTGGTGTATATAGTCTGGCCGTACATGTTGCCCAGCTACAACTAGAAAGTTTGCGCGGGAACAGCGAGTTCTCCAGGCTCTGCTTGCACGAGCTCGGCGATGTTCGGCACTACAGCTGCCTGCAGTAGGAGCTGCCCATCCTTTGCGCCTCCTGACCCTTTCGTCGACCACGATTGCCGTGCCTAAGATCTCAAAAGCTAAAAAGCAGGGTGCGGCTGGTAGCAAACAATTTGCAGTCTTGGAAATGCTCGCGGGTGATGTCCAAGTTAGGAGCATGAGGCAGTGGCCAGCGACATGCAGATCAAGCTGTTTGTCGCGCATGCTCTCTTGAAAATTGCTGCTCCAGCTTCAAGAAGACATCGACGATAGAAAGCTCCCCTTTCCTTCTTTGACATTCTGGCATGGCGCTGCGAGCGACCGCGCCAGCCTTTCTACCGGGCCACCCGTGGCGTGGCAGCTGGAAGGCCACGCCCCAATCCCCAGCTGTAGCAATCCATTTTGAAAAAGGCTAGTGGAAACATCATGCAGGAAGGTGCAAATGTTTTGATATGACTGAGCGCGGATTCTATGGGTTACAAGATGGTTACAGGTGTAGGCGTTTATCTCCATTGACGGTGTTGCAGTCACAAGCTGCATCCACACATGCATTCTCGATCAGTTCTCAAAGTTGTGGTGGCGGACAAGGTAGTTCATGGCGGCGCAGTCACAAGCTGCGTCCAAAGCACTGCTTTTTGTTGGGTGTGTTTAGGTGACTCTGTGACTTCGGGTAATGATGTCGTCGATAGCCCTTATCAGGAATGCCATGTGTTGCAGTCACAAGCTGCACCCAAACGCACGTTCTAGATCAGTTCTGCAAAGTTGTGGTGGTAGACAAGGTAGTTCATGGCGGCGCAGTCACAAGCTGTGTCCATTCATGGCTTGGTTTTATAAGTCGTTCTTCCTGCTTGGCCGTGTCTGCGCAGACGAGAAGCGCTGCCAAGCTCGAGTGCTGGAGCCTGTGCAAAGCCATCCAGATCCTCACTGAAGCAGGCCAGAAGACGTCCGCTAGCACTGCAGTGAAGTCCCTGGCGCTTGCCATGAGGCGTCAATGCTGCTGAGGATTCACGGCTCCTGCGGATGGTGCAAGGGTGGCTGGGCAAGTAAGGAGAGTGAGGAGAATGAGGGGTGAGTTTCGTGTCAGGTTAACATGGATTTGATCCCAGGTGCGTGGTGACGGCACACCGAAGGCTGAGGTCGAAGCTTCCGGAGCTCCACCGCGAACCACCGCAGAAACAGGAGGTGGCGACCCCGAAGGCGACGCCTGTTGTGGAGGCGACCCCGAAGGCGACGCCTGTTGCGGAGCGGCGAGAAAGCAGGAGAGAAAAGCCTCTTTGGCGTTGAAGCCTTTTCAGGAACTCGAGCTCGAACCGCCGTGGAAGGCGACAGCTTCCAAAGAGCTAGCCGCAGCTTTGAAAGCCGAGGCCCCCTTTTTTTGCGAGAAAGAAGAGGGTGGGTCTGGTAGGGCTGGAGGGTGGGCAGCTCGCGAAGGACGTCAGCGCCATCGAGCGCGTCCTGGCTTCTTGCGGGTCCGTCTTGAACGAGGTGCAGAAGAACAGGGCTCGGCAGAAGCTGGCTCTGTTGGCCAAGTGGGTGACTTAGAGGACTTTGCAAGTCTCATGCGCGATATAATCCAAGATTGGCGGCGGTTCATGCGGTCTCGTAGCCTGCTGTGGTGCAGTCACAATCTGCGCCTACTTGTGGATTTAGGACTTTGCTTTCGGTCCCTGCCTGGAATTGGAATTAGATATGCTGGGCCCCCATCGAGCTACATCCCAACTTCCTAAACCAAAAACCCTAAACCCTAGGCTTTAGAAAACCTCAAGCAACACAACCCTTTAGTCCGGTACCTCATATAGTATCACCATACCGTCCCGTGTCACGTAGGGTCTCTTTCTCATCATGTTCAGCGTCCAGGCATCATCACCTGGGTGCGCAAAAGCCGTAGTGAGTCAGGGAGAAAGGGGCTTGTGGACTCCGTTTCTGATTGTAAGCCGCTGACGCTCCATTTATTTGAGATTCTCCTCTTCCCCTTTATCGCCCATGCAGTGCATCACTTGCTGGCAGTATTTCGTTTGGAATACCACTTGTTAGGGGTCTTTGTTGGAATTGCTTGTTGGCGGTTGGGGTCTCGCTATTCTGGGATGTTCTAGGATTTGCTTGAACTTTTCACGTGGAATTTCGAAAGACCGAGTGTTTCCTTTGTTTTTGTTCGGCGGTTTGCCTTTTCGGTGTTTTTGTTTTGTTTCGGCTTTCTGGCTTTCGACTTGTTGGATGTTGGGTGGTTTGTCTTTTTGGCCGTTTTGACTTTATGGCTTTGGGAATGCTTTGGGTGCTTTTTGCGTTTTGGCGATGTTGGCTTTCGGCGTTTGGGATGTTGGGTTTGCTCGCGTTGTGCAGCGGAGGTAGCTGCGCCGGGCGTATTGGCTCTTTCAAGATAGGGTTTCACCAGCTTGTCGGCTTCTGCAAAGATGGGCGCACACGCTCTGCTGTTTTTGGCGTGCAACGCACGCAATAGCAATGGCTCGCACAAGCCTATCAGAGAAGGGGCCCCTTCATGAGCCTCACATGTTGCGGTAGGTGCTGCTGATCACAAAACCACTCAGGAGTAAGACCTGTTGCACATTGTTTGGTGTTGTTGTTTTTGTTTGCCGATTGTGGTTGTTTGTTTGTGTTTGCCTGTTGTTGGGTTTGCATTTGTTGTTGTTGTTGCTGTTATGTGTTGAGCCGCTGGGTTTAGAAGAAATCGTTTGTCTATTTCGTCTCCGTATATAACTGGAATCGTTGGCTTGGAAAACAGCTTCGTTCGGGGACAATTTCGTTTCGCCTTACATGTCATGAATGGCTTTTGTGTTATGAGATGAGCTTCGTTCGGGGACAATTTCGTTTCGCCTTACATGTCGTGAATGGCTTTAGTGTTATGAGATGACCTTTGTTCGGGCACAATTTCGTTTCGCCTTACATGTCGTGAATGGCTTTAATGTTATGAGATAAGCTTCGTTCGGGCACAATTTCGTTTCGCCTTACATGTCGTGAATGGCTTTAGTGTTATGAGATGAGCTTCCTTCAGGGACAATTTCAGCTGGAAGTTGCAAGCTTTACACAGTTACGGTCGCAGTTTCTTGGCCTGGTGGTGTGAGTTTGACAAGGCGAGACTGCGGCAAGAACGCCAGCAATGCCAAGCCGGCCCCTACAGACCAGTGGTGGCATCAGCGCTTATCGGAGGACGACTTCGCTTTGTAGGATATTTAATTTGGTGCTGCTTGCTTAGAGTGCGAGGTTCCCATGCCCAACTCCAGGATATCAAGATTCTCCGTGCTCACGGGTTTGAGCACGTGGATGTTCAGATGGACGGCAATTGCCTGTTCCGCGCGTGGCCGAAATCGCACTTAGTGTGGATTTTGTCGCAAAGCGTTTGCAGGCTGCATTCGTAAGCTTTGTTCCGCGAGCATCAGCGACATTTTCGAACTGTGTCCGAAGAGTGTTTGAGGCGACCTTGGCGTTGCGCATGATGATTCCAAGTAGCATCACTTTTGGTAGATGCAGTTCAGCAAACTCGCGCGGAGACCAACCACGGCCCACATCTTCGTCTCAGAGC